TTGTGCCCTTACCGAGAAATCACGTCCTGCACAGGTGGGACGCGATGCACATGCCAAGACATCGCTTTACAGCTGGGTATTGCACAACGCTCCTTCAGTCATGAATGTCAACGTCCCGCAACGAGTTACCCAAACAGTCGCATTCACGCAAGTATTGTACATCAAGGGTGCGTAGCTGCCGATGAATGAGAGCGCTTGTCCCTTTCACCTCACTGCCCAACAGCACGAGAAGAAAGCGCTGGCAAAGGGGAACACGAAAAGTGCCGTAGCCACCACCTTTGGGTTCGAAACTGTAAAATTTGCACTTATTCCAATGGCAGCTGGTGCTGTTGCTACCTCATCTAGTTATTGTGTTAGGTACTGTCGTTGCCGCCAAATCTATTTTTTCTGGATAGCTGGCGTGCCTGCTGTCAGATCTCCCTTTTGTTTGCATTTTGATGACAGCTGTTATTGTTTCTTCCACATTCATTGTTGGTATTTTGACGGCAGCTGGTGTGGTGTGGTTGCTGCCTCATCTGCCTCCTTGACTTATTTTGATGATAGCTATTGTGGTTGTTGACGCATCTGCATTTTGGGATTATTGTTATGATATTTGGTATAGATAGTGCTATCTCCGCGTCTGCCCTTTACTCTTGGTTCGAGGACAGCTGGCATGGTTATTGCCGCGTGCTCTATGCGGTCTTTTCCACAGAGTCGACTGGTAGTTCACGCTCCGCGCCACAAGAGGTAGCGTTCGGTGCCCAGCCTTCTTTGCTCCCAGCGGCTGTGAGTGAGCTTAGCAATTTATAAACGTCTATGTTGATCGCGAATTTCTGGGGCTGGGGATAGAAAAAACAGCACGTTCGCTAACAGCAGAAATTTCGGGTCCTGGAGAAGCGCAGAAACAAAATGGCAAGAGTAGAAGGCGTTTATCGCATCAACTTGAAAAAAGCCCTGCGCACAACAGCGAAGTGCACCAAAAACTTGTACTGAATTGAATGTTGTATTATTGTATTGAATTGAATGTTGTATTATTTTATTGAATTGAATGTTGTATTATATTGTATTTAATGTTGTAGACTCACACTTGCAGCCACGGAAACTACTAATCGCATCCTGGTATGCTATGGTGAAGTACCGTTATGCATATGGGGTTCCCATTCATGGTTAGCCTCTGACCAACTGCCTTTGAAGGCGATCTTTGTTCGGCTGCTCAAGCCGCTCCAGGAAGAGATCGTGGCGTGACGCGAGTGGGATACCTCACACCTCGTTGTTGGAGCGGCGCAGGGAAAGGACGGACTATCCTAACACGGCCCCGAGTCCGTGAGGGGCGGGCGCGGGGCGTCGACAGGAAAAACCTCGCCTCCCGACCGGCAACACCGCCTTCGATACCCGAGATTGGCTTCAATCTGACCGCGCCGCCGCCGCCGCCGCCGCCGCCGCTGCCGCCGCCGCCGCCACCGCCGATGCCGCGCCAATGCTGATTACAGACACGCAGCGCCGGGCGGCAATTCGGCGCAGCCTCCGCGGCGCGGCGGCCATTTTGGCGCGCTTGCATGCGGCGCGCCGCCGCCTCCCGCGCCGAGTTCCGCGCTGCCCGCGCCGGCTCTGATTGCCCTCCGGTTTAATTAAAGCGGGGACTGGCGGAATCGCCGGCGCCCGACGCGACCGCGGCCTGCCGCCTTTCCGTCTGCTCGCGTGTGGGGCTGACGGATGGCGGCGGGATTACCATTTTTCTGCAGATTTGACACGGCTTCAGTTGGGGCAGCGCGGCGTTCGGAGTCATGAGTTCACCGCAGTCCCCCCATCCCCCACCCGCACCCCCGCGGAGGTCGGTCGGTCGGTGCCGTGTCGGCTCCGCTGTCCAAGTGGGGCGGCAGGGGAAGGGGAGGGGTATCGGAGGAGCGATTATGCCGGCCGTTCCACAATCTTGCGTCGTATTTTCTATCGGACTAATGACGGATGATGACGTCAGTTCCGGTGCCAGGCCGGCCGCCGCCGGAAGGGAGGACGAGGCCGGCCGGCCCGGCGTCACGCGAGCGTTGTGCGTACTGACGGCACAGCGACTGTGCCAGACCGGGCGCAGAGGCACCACAAGGAAGCGCATCGAGCAGTGCGGGAACGGCACACAGATCTATGGACGGAGGTCACCCGAACACAAGCTGTACACTTCAGAGCATACCGTAGATAACTTGTCGGTTCTTATGTCTAGTGTTCTGATGGTGGTTGTGGTTAGGTCGAGGTTAACCGAGGAGGTCTGGCGAAAAACCTGGCAGGACGGGCAACAGCTCCCTCCCTTACTACATGACAGTGTGGCCTTCTGGCTACGGAACGAACCAACGCCGTATCACATGCCGTAAGTACGACAGCGAACCGGTCTGGTGACAAAACAGTTTGCATATGCCCACCACAATGCCGCATACCCCATCGCACTTATCCAGCATGTCCGCGCAGCTGCATCCAATATTAAGAACTTGCACATCATTCGTTACCGATGAATTCGCCAATTTCAATACCCACAATCCCGTCCCCTATTTTCAATACCCACCACACGCACTTAATCTCAGCAGCCAGCCCCCGTCCGCCCCCGCGCCTCCTACCCCGCCTCCATGGCTTTCCTCGCCTCCTCTTATACAGCCGTGCGCTACGCGGCCGGCCCATAGTGCACGACCTGAGCGCATCTAATAAGGCCGCAACAGGCGATTTATGTCGGTTACTAATGGAGCACGGCGGCGCCGGCGCAGCAAACGACCAGTCCCCCGTTCTTTATTGCGACGCGGGAGGGATGGAGGGCGGTGCACGGTCGAAGCACGGCTAACGAGGAGCGCAGAGAGACCCGGGGAAGAAGTCAGGCGGACCTGAGGAGGAGCGCAGGGAGACCCGAGGAAGAAGTCAAGCAGACCTGAGGAGGAGCGCAGGGAGATCCGAGGAGGAGGTCAGGGATATCTGAGGAGGAGCGCAGAGAGCCACGAGGAGGAGGTCAGGGATATCTGAGGAGGGGCGCAGAGAGACCCGAGGAAGAAGTCAGGCGGACCTGAGGAGGAGCGCAGAGAGACCCGAGGACGAGGTCAGGGATACCTGAGGAGGAGCGCAGAGAAACCCGAGGAGGTCAGCGAGACCCGAAGGAGTAGTCAGGGATGCCTGAGGAGGAACACAGAGAGACGTGAGGAGAAGGTCATATAAGCCTGAGGAGGAGGTCAGGGAAACCTGAGGAGATGGTTAGGAAGACCTGACAAGGAACGCAGAGAGACTCGAGGAGGTCAGCGAGACCTGAGGAGGTCAGGGAGACCTGGAGAGAAAGTCAGGGAGACCTGGAGAGAAAGTCAGGGAGACCTGAGGAGGAACGCAAAGAGACCTGATGACGAGGCAATGAGTCCTGAGGAGGAGGTCATGAAAAATTGAGGGGGAGGTCAGGGAGACCTGAAGAGCAGGTCAAGGAAACCTGAGGAGGAGGTCAGGAAGACCTGAGGAGGTCAGGGAGACCTGAGGAGATCAGGGAGACCTGAGGAGGAGGTCAGAAAAGTCCCGGATCGCGGAGCGGGATTCGGGACATAGAGATACAAAGAGTGAGTAAGAGGTGGAGGGAGTGAGGAAAGCTGGTACGGAGGAAAAAGGGAGGGGGAGAGATGGTGAGAGAAAGAGGTAAAGGAGAGAAATGGATAAAGCAGAGGGATAGATAAAAAAAAGAGAGAGAGAGAGAGAGAGAGAGAGAGAGAGAGAGAGAGAGAGAGAGAGAGAGAGAGAGAGAGAGAGAGAGAGAGAGAGAGAGAGAGAGAGAGAGAGAGAGAGAGAGAGAGAGAGAGAGAGAGAGACAGACAGACAGACAGACAGACAGACAGACAGACAGACAGACAGACAGACAGACAGACAGACAGACAGACAGACAGACAGACAGACAGACAGACAGACAGACAGACAGACAGACAGACGAACAAACAGGCGGACAGGCAGAAAGGGAAAAAGTAAGGGTGGGAGAAAGACTGAGAAAACAAATGCAAATACAAATGTGGACTGCGGGAAGCAATTCGGATTCTAATGCAAAGACAGGACCAGAAACCAATACTGCACGGAGAAAAGTTCCGTTAAGATCTCCAGTTCCAGACGTTGAAGCACACGAACACGTGCGGGTGAGTTGGACTTAAGTCGTCTCGTACTCCTCCCACTCCCGGGTCTGCGTCGGGTCCGTATTCACTCTCTCACGCCTCCCGCCATCAGGTCCGAGGTCCTCCTCAGACGTCAGGTCCGGATCCCTTCCGGTGACTCCCATCGTTCGGTCCGGGTCCTCCTCAGACGCCAGGTCCATGTCCTTTCCGGTGCCTCCCGCCGTCCGGTCCGGGTCCTCCTAAGACGCCAGGTCCGTGTCCCTTCCGGTGCCTCCCGCCGTCCGGCGTCCGGACCTGCTCCTCCTCAGACGCGGCGAACGGACCGCGCCATCGGTGCACGCGATACTCCGCGTGCAAGATCGATGCCTAATTATCCTCATGGAATTAGATGGCGGCGGCGCCTCCCAAAATAAGTACCGCGCGCCGATGTGCTCTCTGTGGGACAGGTGTGGCGCCACCGGTCCCTGGACAGGGGCTGGTGGAGCGCGTGTGTCCGACACTGGTACATATGAAGCTCAGGTGCGGATATTGGTTTTTCAATGTCGTCTGTGGGATGGGTACAGTGTGGCGAGCAGGTGGGGCAGGGATGGGGAATGGCTGTCGAACATTTTGGCGAAAGTAGATTGTTTTACAATGCATTGGGTTTCCTGTGCGGCGGCTGTCATGATTGCCTTGGCCACCCCACGCCATCTGGACACTGCAGGCAACTGCATGTGGCGAGTTCGAGACTTGTAAACGACGCGTGGACACGTGACGTCCGTTTCAGTATATTCTCAGCGCTCGGAACACAACCACAAACAACAAGAAACACATTTCAGCCGTAAGTACGAGAAGCCGTGACCCGACTGTTCAGCCACATTAATCCGCCGATGTCGGTGCACCGCACAAGCCCGAGAGGCTCAGTGAGACACTGGCGCGCTACTCTGTGTCGGTGGCCGTGAGCTCCGAGCTGTGCACACTCCCCGCTCGGCCGTACACGGTTGGCTGAGACGCGATGCGCACGCTCTTGGCGACACTGCCGCGGGGCGCGAACCCCGTCGGCCGCCGCTGCGAAAGGTCGGAGGCCAGCGAGTCGTCCGACCCGGACAGCGAGCTTCGGCCGGCCGCCGCCAGGGGCACGAGCTCCTCGGAGGCCGGCCGGGACTCGGCACGTCGGTGCCGGTGGTCCATCCACCACTGGACGCAGTAGAGCGTCAGCGCTATGCACAGCAGGCCCACGATCACGGAGCCGATGGCGAGCGTCTGGCGGGGCAAGGTCAAGGAGGCTCGCGCGGCCCTCGTGAGCGGCGCGCTCGTAAAAAGAGCGCGCCAGACGCATTTGGCGCGGCTGGGTGGGTTGATGGCGGCCGCCGGCGCCGCCGCCACCGGGCTTGGCCGCACCAACAGACACAGCGGCTAACAAGTTCTGGTGGGCGCCGCGCCGCGATGGGACGTGGCCGCCGGCCGGCCGCAAACCGAGCCGAGGTTTTGGGGTGCCCTCGGTGTAGGGAGTGGGGTGGTGTGGGAGCTTGCCAGCGGGGTAAAGGCGGGGTCTGCTAGTGTTAGCTTTAACGTTAGTGGAACGGAAATCCTCCTTTGAAAACACTTGACAGCTTGCGAAGCACCCGGCGCCAGTGTCTGGTGTAGGGAGCACCGTAAATTTGTAAGCATCGTAATTGGTAGTATAAGCAACATTGGCAATTATCGCTAGTTCAAAGCAGTGGCAAGTACATTATTTTCAGTGATTTCCAGAAGTCCTATGAAATCGTCTTACAATGACCATCACGCCAAGCTGCGGCCAGTTCTTGTGTCCTCGCGCCTCCCTCCCCTTCCCTCTCACAGTTGCCTTGGGAGCTAACGATACCCAGCAACACTCGTCATTACCGAGTTGCTCATTCACATCGAGACAGCAACGTACCCAAAACGTTCGAGCTATGAATAAAATTAACCGATCCCACCTGTGCATACAACTGCAACGCCGCCAGCATTGCCGCTGTTATTGTGTTAGTGGCAATCAATATGTAAATTGGTGCGCATTCGTTTCTTATTCCGTCAGGGTACATTTGAGCGCGGGTCGTTCTCATTTGAGAGCCTTGAGAGTTCTCCTCTTAGCGGTCGTTTTCCGCCTTCATTAGCGAATATCGTTCGTGGAAGCGGGCCGAATATCTTCACATCTGACGGTGGACTGTGCAGACTTCGGCGAAGCCCGGCGCGCCTTCTTCTCTGGGCGGCAGACGACCACTGGCACCACCGCCGCGCCGCCGCCCTCTGCACACGTTATTGCTGCTTGCCAGCTGCTGAGCGAAGGACGGCCATTTTGCCGGGCCGCGGAGCCGAGCACGCCCCGAGCACGCCGCCGGCGCCGCGCGCCGTGTCGGGGCCGTACCCGTCCGCCGGCGCCGCCGGCGCCGCCGTCGGGCCGCTAGTGAGGTGCAGAGGCGCCCGGCGCGGTTCCGCGCCGGCCGCCATGTTGGAACTCCCTGCGGTACCCGCTCAATGGACTTTGTGCAAGTCGGTGACTTGCTTGTGCGGAAAAGTGTTTGCAGAATTGGGCGACGTTTTAAGCGAGACTTGGTTGGCTGACAAGTGCGATCAGAGCGCCGAAAACCCCGGGATGTGTTGTACGTCACTCGGTCCCCCCCGTGCCCATTCGGTGGAATTTGTTGCAAATTTTAAGATGCTAAAAACCACATTTGAATGTCGCATACCCAGTGGGCACAATATGACTTGCCTCTCACAAACGTAGCAGCTTCCAAGACCATGTTGCGTGCCATTTACCGGTGCCAGGAGGTGTTCCGTGGGATAAACGCTCGTTAACAAGCAATATCGTTGAAGCCTAACCCTGACCTGTCTCATGGAGATCCTCGAGACCTTAAGTGACGCTAATACGACAGGCTCAGACAGCGCACACACAAGTGCGTTCGCGTATCCTTTTAACTTAAGATCACTTATCCTTGCATGGTTCGCTGCACAACCACCCATCGGCAGACTGACGCGGAGCTCACCGGCTCTTGGGGCCCGCTCTTTGTTACTGCCCGGGACTGACAACGTGGCCGGCACTGATGACACTGACTTATGTAAGGTTAGGTTTCGAGAGGATGAGGCCCGCTTTCACATCGATGCTCAGTAGTGCATCTCTTGAGATGGTTCAGCTGACAAACGTAGGGATCAACAACAAGATCATGAGAAAGCACCATGTACAGATTTAAAGAGGAAAACAAAGGACGCTTTGGATCCAGACAACATTCGTGATAGCGTACCAAGTGCAATGCCATCATCAGTTCCAACAACGTGGAATGCATTGCCAAGAGTTAGAGTGAACCGGAAGTCGCCGTGCGTGACGGGAAGGAAGGGAAGTGATCTTACCATCCCAAGTGAAGATTACTTACAACCAAATATAACAAAGCAAAGCCAGCTCAGGTCTCAGGCATGACCAAATTCAGCAGTGGTGCAATGTTATGCCACGTTTGATGACGACGTTTGTGCATTGCCCCATTGCAAATTTCGTGCAAAGCTGGCCTAAATTACAAACAGTTGTAATCTTAATCGCCGACCGAGCTGACCTTTTCAACAGCGCAAACGGCGAAAATTACGCCCGGCCCGCAGCCTTGAAAAACCTTCACCCGTTCAGCTTTAGTCATTTTCACCAATGCACTTGGTGTTCTCACAGCGACTAGTTAAGGCAAGCTGTTAATAACAATAATAAGTGTTGTATGGAAACATGTAGCCTTGTTAAGTTCATTAGCCCTGCCATACCTGATGAGAATCAAGGCCAGTGAAAGTTTCCTGTGAAGGCGTCGAACCCGGAGCCCCCGATTCAAAGTATGGCACGTCATGCACACAGCTACCTTAAGTTTTCATTTGGTAATATTGCCTGATTATTGCCTCATATTTGCCCCGCCCCAGTCACTTAACAACCGAAAGCATATACGTTCTTATCATTTTCTCATACCTTTGCAGTTAATGTTTTCAGCATCGTGTGTGTGTGTGAATCTTGGTATTGGATGATATTAATTGCCATGTGCGAGAGTCAAATGCGGGTGCTAATAATTGTAAAGCCAAAAACCAGCCTTGTGCAGATGACCTCAGTATGACGCACCTACTTAAGCATTGAGCATTAGGCACGAAGCAGTGCGTTTCACGAAGCTTTCTCCACCACCGGGGCCGTTAGGGCGCGCCCGTCAAAGGATACGAAGAGCCAGTTGGAGGCGGCCCTGTTCTGCGCCGCTTCGTCTGACGGCTTCACCACCTTGATGTTGCACATGTGGTAGACGGAGGAGGACGGCTGGAAGGAAGCCCGGTCCAGGGGCGAGGACATCCACCCCTTGTCGCAGACGCACCATAGCTCGTCGTCCAGCCGGCCGTGGTGGCATTCCACATTCTACCGAGAAAGGAAGAGGTCTGCTGCACTATATCGCAGTCAAGGCAGGTGTCTTGGACGATCTACCGTTCTTGGTGTAAGCGATGTTTGGCGATCCACGGGAAACGGGGCGAATAACATTCCATTTTCCACTGAAAAAATGGTATCGTGCTTGATTCGCATTCCGCGAAAGGCAGCACAAAACTGTAAGCGCTACACTTTGCAACGCTCTTAAGGGACCGTGGCATCACCAGCTTTTTCATACTCCACTCCCAGTGGAGCCTGGCTTTTACCCCTTCTACTGCTGACACGTTTCGTTGTTCTGGTTCACCATGCGCATCTTTAAATACGAAGGTGATGCTGCATGAAGTCTGCATGCAATCGGCACATTTCAATTTCCAGGACGCCAACATAATGCCAGGAATGAATTCACGCTGTGCATGAAGCACCAGAACGCATAGACACCCATTTTTCTGCCATCAAGGAGTATACAGAACACTACAATCACTGCGCTGCAGTTATACAGCCCATTCTTCTATCTTATAACAAGCAAGGGTTGTCATACTGATCGAAGGCAATGGGCAAATTCTGAAGCATTCCAAAGTCTAAGCGATGCAAATCAGCACGGGGACAGTTATAATTTAATTCCTCCGACGTAGCGCAGCCTATACCTATTAGTGATTGCTCTAATTTGGGGTTGCATGTGTCAAGGAGCCCATCGGGTTACGCACGCTTAATGGGATTGAATTTAAAATGGAGATGCGAACATACCCATTTTGCCGAGACAATTTGTGCTTTGTGTTGTGCAAGATGCAACAACACTGAACAAATCACCTGGTGCTACAGTTTTCCACGTTTGGTTCAGCCCACACCTGCACCTCGCTCGTTGAAAAACGGTTAGTTTTCGTTCACACATGGATTGTTCCTGGGCGTAATAACCTCGTGGCAGGGTAAAGCCATTGCAGCAAGCAGGAAACATGCATACTTCCGCGGCTGCATTTGCCGCCCTCTGTGCTTTCGGGTGTGCCCCTGGCGAAAGGGAGCGCCTAAAACGCGGGCAGAATTGTCGAACCTAGCCAGCGCGCTGACAAAATTTCCTCGTCGCTGCAGGCCAGCTTGTGTCAGCACTGTTCATTTTCAATTAGTATTTCACTTCCTTTCCCATGGGCTTTAAGTACCGCGAATCACCAAATTGAGCTCCAGCCACAACGGTAACCAGGAAATACAGGCTGTGGGGAAATGGCGTGCAGTCAGTGCTATCGGCGTCTTCTCAGAACCACTGATGACATCTTTCTGCGAATTCCAGCGCGCATCGCTCACATCTTAACGCCGACTTTAAACCCCACCCGGCAGTGTTTAAGGCGCGGGGGAGGCGCGGCGCGGCTTGATCCGAGCTTCTGGGGGGAGGGGAGGGGATGTATCACTTGCGACGGCACGGGGAAGCCGCCCAGTAATGCGGCGGTCGCAGTCATCTGTCCCTTTTCGGTGATCCGCCAAGACTGACGGCCGTTCGCCATGGCTTGGTTAACGCCTTTAAAAAGAAAGCACGATACTATCTAGGGAGCTTCAGAGCCATAGCCAGAGCTGCAGAGATCGCGTTGCATGACAGCGGGAACCGCAATCCACGATATCAGGACCATCTGGCGCTCTGTCTTCTGGCATTTAAGAGAAAATTTAGCTTGCTAGTCTTTGGTGGCCTTTGAACAGGGGCGTATCACGTAACGCGGCCGCTCATTGGTCAGTTTTAACTAACCACTTGCCGGAAAACAAGGAGCCGGCTGTCTGTACAAAACCTATTGCAGCAACTCTTTCCACGCGGTGTTCTCGCCTCTGGTATGGCTTGCGCAACAGAAAAGGCGGAGCGAGGTCTTAGCCTAACACGGGTCAGCCGGGCTGAGGCGTTACACAGCGCAGAGAACATTCTTCTGGATCTAGATCTGGGAAAAAGATCCTTCAGATGCAGCTCTTTCCGTGTCTGTTGTGGCGTGGGAGTGGCGAGACGGCAAAATGAGGGAGTGTTATCGCCGTAGAGATGAAACCAAAAAGTCCATAAGGGCAGCCGGCCGTGCTTTAGAAACCATACAGGTGGATGTCATCATCCCCATTTCAAACCGAGTTCTCCTGTTTTTCTCAATTATCTGAAAATGTTTCCACGTGTTGGACTTGGGGTCATACTGTGCCCAATTTGAAACTTAACAATGAGTAAACAAATCTCTTTTATTTACAGGAAAGTCGCTTCTGGTTGCGCGACTTACGAGTAAATGGCAAAAACTGATACGATCGTTAAGACTTTGGCTTCATCTTGTTGAGATTGTACGAAGCACAATTGCGCGATCAAAATTTACCAATAGATTATAGCCTACAGAGGCGCGCAGGTTTTTTATAGTTTGAATAGTCGGGAGACGGTATTATCCCATGAATTTCAACGATACATCTCGGGTGACCGGCTACGGGTGTAACCAATAAATTTGGTTGACCGGTTTTATGTGCGCATAGTCACCCGTGCCCCACCAATAACCATTCACTAGTGGGTTCGTTACGAACAGTAAAGTAATGAGCCATCTCGACATCTTTCCACAGTGGTCTTTTGTGATGTTTTAGAAGGAAGAATAGACTGATACTAAGCAACAACTCATTATTGGAATTGTTCATTCACAAGGATCATAGTCGACCTGCTACCCGCGGGTTTTTCTTATATACGGTAATCCTACTTGTGGTACATGAATCGCATTCCGCAATTATTTAACAGTTCGATTGATGTTTGAAATCACGTTTCTCTAAAAGCACAGAACATTTATTTAGTCCGACCCGCTATGCAAGTTGATGTAAACCATCTTTTACCGTGATGCGCTGACTGCATTGTATCCGGCAACAACGAACTTAACTACGGCTGCTCAACACTGTGGCCAGCCAGGCTGTCATCGCATTGCACGGCTCCATACCGTAGCTGACCCCGAAACACCAAAGACAGCAGCATTTCTGCACGGGAACACGATTAACTAAATGCATAAGTATAGCCAATGTCGTTGTTGGGCTCAGTGGATTTATCTGAAACGTGAGGATTTTGGCATCAAGGCTGAACAAGCCCAGCTGAAAATGGATCATACGCTGAAAACAATGTCGCAGGGTTATATTTGTTCACGATAAGCGCTGTCAGCTGAATCAGATATTGGAAACTTTTAGCTACATTCTATAAGTAAGAAGTGGTCGGACATCTTAATCGTACGGGATGGCGATACAAGTGATGGGGAATATGATCTGGTATTATACCCTTGGCCAACAGCCTTGGCTGAAAAGTCGGTTTAGCCCCATTCACGGAAAACCGACGAAGCTCCATGTCGATGAATTATTTAGTGATTTTCAGATAAACACTACATTCTCCCGGCATTTCAAAAGCACATACGCTCCGTTTAATGTAGTGGCGTCACTCAAGCTTGTCAAGGCAGACCTACAACCGGCTGTGCAGGCTTCATTCCTTTTCCGGATAAAAGGAATGAAGCGCAGTTGGTAGAACGACACCTGGCGCGCCGTCGTGAAGCGGGACAAACCAGCTGGCCATGCGGTGGCCAGCAGCTAACGGCAGGTCATCTGGCCTGGCTCTCCGCTTACCATACACTACGGCGCAGACCCACCGCGCTACGGCGCTGGCTTCAGCGGCCTGCGTCAATGGGGGTCACCGGGGAGGGAGGGGGAGTCACCCCCGCATACCACACGCCGCGCACATGTCATTACCGCTCCGAGCAGAGACATAACTAGCAGCAGGGCGCGGCGAGGGCAGAGGTGGAGGCGGTGGCAACGTGCGGTAGCAGGAGGGCGGCGTGACGACCCACGGCTGCTGCGCATGCGGCTGCTAGATGTTTCGATGTCTAGACACCTGTGCATGGACTGTCGAGCGTTGCGCGGCAAGGCTTAACATACAGAGCTGTCGAAGAAAAATAAATAATCCGGGGTTACGGCTTGATGGTCGCTGAAATTTTTGGCAGCATGTTTAGACTGGGAAGACGACTGATAATTTACAACCCAACCCCCGATTACGTACCGATGTTTGGGACCATGCGCTCACCACTAGCGTCGCGCAGTGACATAAAAACGGGAAATCCAATATCGTAAATGGTTATACAGCCGACTGTAAACATATGATAGATGAAAATAGCCATCTCACGGTTTTTGCAGCCGTGAAATGTACTGCACGCATGTTGAATCTAGACTGCCTTTCGCAAAGTTTTTCACTAACGTGCCGTATGGCCTGGACTCTCCAGCACAAGAGCAACGCCGCTTCCAAATTTGTGAATGCATGACGAAAACGGTTTTCGCTCGGTGGGCCGTCACAATTTCCGATAATGATGCAAGACGAGACCCATCTAACCACAGTCATCCCAGTCATTCAGCCACCTCGCGCCAACACGCCACTCACCGCCGAGCGTAAGATGGAGATAAGGGGGTCCCACGCGTCGCCAAAGCTGATGGAGACCGCAACTTTCCACACAAACGCGGGCACGAAACGGCAGCTTGTTCGCGATAGCCGTCACCACGGCCTTAACGGCAGAAAGCGGTGGCATCATTCCCCAAGGGCGGAGAAAAGTCTCTAGAAGAAGAGGGCCAAAATCCTTTTTTAAGAGGAACACTCCTAAGCGCCGTCACGTGACTAAAGTAACCCTGTCGCGACAAATGGAGGGAGTATGGCTAACGGCCTCTCCGGCCCCTTGGCTCTGTCCCCGCATCGTTTGCTTCGGATGTGCCGCACAGATAGCCTGACTTGGTATCGGTACATCTTGTATTAAATTCATCTCGGTCCACTTAATTCGGAGGGTAAGCTATCCAGAACCCACCCGCATCTGCATCAAGATCTCTAGCAAGTCTTCTGTCTATCGGCAGACCCCATAATGCGATCGTATGATGTGTCTTGATATACGGCTGTTTTAAACGTGCAAATACGGTGCATCTTAACCCATACCTTTGAAATGTAAGGTGGAACAAATGTCTCGATATACCAGTTGCACGCCAAATCTAGAAGCCAAGGCCAACGCTGAATAGGACCTGGTCGCTGAAAGCATCAAGTCATGAGCTTGTCCAAATTAAGCTGTTAAGCCAGGTAGTTCGCTGGGCACGGGGTCCACTGTGCTAGTTTCCTTAGCGTGCATATTGCCTACCAGTCACACAACACCTCACAAATGCTCGGACTCCACGATCAGCTGCAAAACACCCCCCGGCTGCAAACATAAAACAATAGTGAACACATAAAAACTAGGATAATTGAAACTGGCCAAACTTCAGTCACAATACACCCGCAAAGGCAACGCATTCACTAAAATCACAAACAAAGCCACACCCAGCTCGGAAGGGCGGTCGGAGCCTTCAAGGTTGGATGAATTCCGGCAGCTTCTGAGCACACTGGCACTGATGCAAACTGAGGGCCTCCCCGCCGACATCGCGCTTACGTCAGGCAGACACGACGAAAATACCACTTCCGTCTTTGCTGCTGATCTTTACCACTCCAGCCCAAGCTCCACCCGTGCAGGAATCACGATACGAATAAAATAAAAGGTCTGTTCATCAAAGCCTCTGAGAAGGCCGAAGGAAGAGATTTAGCTCAGGCCACGTGCCGATCTCCCCCTAAAAGGAGAGGAGAGCGCTGGCTGTTACTCGGCTACACGTGCATTGCACGGCTAGGGACAAAGCAGCTCACTTGAAACCCTTGGCAGGCCATTAAACTCGAGACATATGGCTTTTGACAGGCCATCAAACCCGAGACATGAGGCCCTTGACAGGCCATCAAACCCGAGACACGAGGCCTTTGACAGACCATCAAACCCGAGACATGAGGCCTTTGACAGACCATCAAACCCGAGACATAAGGCCTTTGACAGACCATCAAACCCGATACATGAGGCCTTTGACAGGCCATCAAACCCGAGACATGAGGCCTTTGACAGGCCATCACACCCGAGACATGCGGCCTTTGGCAGGCCATCAAACCCGAGACATGAGGCCTTTGACAGGCCATCATACCCGAGACATGAGGCCTTTGACAGGCCATCACACCCGAGACATGAGGCCCTTGAGAGGCCATCAAACCCGAGACATGAGGCCTTTGACAGGCCATCAAACCCTAGACCGACCGCCCCCACCCCTCCCCCCTCTCGATCTGACGCAGCTGGTCTAGCGCGGCTCAGCCTGCCTGTCGGTTTGCCAGGATGATCTCCCCGTTACTAGAATGCACTTTCCAATAAGATCCGTCCACTTCTTTAGCACGCACCACCGCCCCCACCCCCACCCGCAAACACGTAGGGGCACTGTCGTGCTCGGTCGTACCTCGCCAACGTCACCGCAAGTAAACCCGCTTAAAGTTCAGTTTCTCCACGAATGCCAGCGGCGGTGATTCAGTCTCCCACGCGATCCAAAGACCTTCTTGTGCCGAGTCTGTAGAGGGTGGAAGGGGGGGTTACTGACCCCGCACACCTCACTTTGGACTTCCAGTGTCTGGCATGCTCTCGGCTAAAATGGCTTACGCCTTCACGGGATGTTCCTTGATGTCTCACCACGATTTTCCAGTAAAGGACTTTACGGGTAAGATGTCCTTTTACCCCATGCGCCAGATACCCATGGGAATGTGCTCATACCCGACCCCATCTATCCTGAATCAGTCGCTCCCACCCGGTACCCACCCGCTTGCACTTGTCTAGCACTGCGGCTCTGAATCATGGAAGAATTTCTGGTTCGCAACAAAGCTTACCTTTTGAGAGGGAGAGAACTATTCATGGCCAACAGAGGGGTAAGCAGTAACACTGCGTGCCATTTCTTGAAGTAAAGATCATAGATCTGGAACATTTTTCACCGTACCCAAACCCACACTTTTCCGAGTAACACTGCGTACCATTGAAGTAAAGATCATAGATCTCTAACATTTTTCACCGTACCCAAACCCACATTTTTCCGAAAATCTGTACCCAGCCGAGCCTGTTACCTATCGCATGTAGTGTCCATTGCCCTATCCAAGCCGTAAAGTCCTCTTCCATCCGTGCCTCTCAGCGAGTGTCCATGAACTCTGACCTGGGGTCGGTTCTTGTCGTAGCGGAGCACCTCCCCCTTGGCCGCGTCGTGGAAGAACTGGAGGTCCTCCTCGGTGAGGGCCGACATGAGCTGGCGGCACTGGTTACTCTCCGGAACGTACGCCTGCGGTGGGGAAGACGAGGGAGGCGAAGGTCAGAACAAAGCTCAGACGTCAGACGTCAGACACGTTCAGAGCACCTGACCACGATGAGCGACTGCGGGGGAGGGTCAACTAGACGACAGACGAGGGAGGCGAAGGTCAGAGCAAAGCTCAGACGTCAGACGTCAGACACGCTCAGAGCACCTGACCACAATGGGCGACTGCGGGGGAGGGTCAACTAGACGACAGACGAGGGGGGCGAAGGTCAGAGCAAAGCTCAGACGTCAGACGTCAGACACGCTCAGAGCACCTGACCACAATGGGCGACTGCAGGGGAGGGTCAACTAGACGACAGACGAGGGGGGGCGAAGGTCAGAGCAAAGCTCAGACGTCAGACGTCAAACACGCTCAGAGCAGCTCAGGTCAACTAGACGACAGACGAAGGAGTGACGCTGGCTAAACGGTGCGGGGGGCAGTGGTCGACTCTCAGGAGAAGGTGGAGGCGGTGCCGTTCGAGGCAGCTTGGCCAGTTGGCGGTGGTGATCGGCTGTCGAGGGCAGGAGCAGTGGTGACGGCAGAAACAGTCCGATGCCTCCATGGAATATGCGGAGAAGAACGGCCAGAAACCGACGACGAAGTTTGCCGAACATTCAGGGTATTGGCGTTTGCGCGCTGTACAGGCGCATGTGGGATGCCTGCCAGCCGTCTGGCGCCTCTTCATCTTCAGTCTAAATGAACGAGGGAAAATAATCACATTTTAAACTTTGGTACTCAATATGGCCGGCTTCTCAGAATCAATGGCTTGCCTATCATAGCACACGGAAAACATGCGCAAAGCCGCTTTCCTTTCCAGTATTTGCATCAAAATGTACCATTTAGCTATTTGCCTTTTAGATAACCCACTCAGTCTCTTAGTTCTTCCCAAGACCTGAAATAACACTGGCTCTAAAGAAACGTATCACTGAGATGACTTGGGCCCTGATGACCCTGACATACCACATATGCACATATGTGTTTGTCAACAAGAAACTCATTAAATCTCTACGATTTTGAGCACGAAATTCCTCTTAAAACAGCACTAAACAGCTTTTCCGCTCCGGTCCACAAATCGCGTTGCACAGCTTAATTCTTCAACCGCGTCAAGTGCATGCTGTCCCGTTTTTGCTCAAATCTGCACGCTTCTTGTCGATATGATCAGAGCCCGAGAGCACGTGCTGCCTTCGTTTCTTTTCGGCGTTTAAGAAGGCATCACGCCACTATTGCCGCATTGTTACATGCTAGATATCATGAGCGTTGAATATCGTGTGCTGTTACTTCCTACACCCGGGAGGGTCAGTTCTCTGCCCTCGGCGTGCAGAAACTTTGAGGGTGCATCGGGTAAGAGAGAATAAACAGAGCAGAAGTACACATCTGATAACAGGAAAATAAAACGCCGGTTGTGAGGAATGCTAGGAATAGACAAAACGCAGCTGATATTTTGAAGCTTGGACAGCAGGCATCTGAGGATGGTTTACATAACTGCCGCATGCTTGTAGGGCCTTTTCAACGCAGGTGCTCTGCGGGGGCTTAGTTGCAGTACAGATGGCCACACCAAAAGTAAACGAATTGAAGATATTCATTTGGGAAAGAGGAATGCCCGACAGGCTGACAATCCTTCTAGAAAGTATCTGTCGCAGGCATGCAAGGCCCTCTAACAAACTGCACACACAAAGGGTCTACCTTCACCTGCACGTGTTTCTTTCGTCTGCTCTTGGTAGAAGCTCAGGAACAAGCTTGCTGGCATGCGGCCGAACGAATTTAAAACGCGGAGCCTCCGTTGCCACGTACAGGCGGTGTTGGTGCATTTTAAGAGCTCAGCGTGAAGCACAACAAGGAAATATGCTCCCGCAATGCGTCGTCACCGAGCACATTTCCATGAAAGATCTCCAAAGATACCAGCGACGCAGCGAACCAAAGTATTCACCCCCGCCTGGGCCTTAGTTTTGGATTCTAACGGTGGTTGTACAACACCGCAATGAGCACTATCGACCATGCTGATTGCGAGTGTTCAGGAAAAGATCGGCAGCATAACAGAAAAGATTCACACCGGGGAGGAAAACAACCAAAACGGGCTGTCCAAAGGTCACGCGCAAATTTTTACGTGCGTTTCTTTTATGACGGTGCTATTATGCATCATGTACAGGAAAAGGGTGCATTCGACTGTCAGAGTGCTATTCCTTATCCGACATGTAGCCTCGGCCCGATAGTCATTTTTGCCGGGTACCTACGTATACCAAGCAAATGTTAAATTCCCAAATGACCTCAATGAAATACGGCACAGGTACATCAGTCAAACCAATGCATTTTGCCAGACTGTCCACGTGTTTGAGTGTGCCTTTGATTGCTGTTTTGGTCCGTTACGGCCACGGAAATGGGATATGGCCACGCAGTCATCAATCGTTGCTACCATTACCACAGTCCAAGAAAAAACCGACCCACAGTCTTACTCCTGCTATGTTTGTTGGCACGCCGTGGCGGATTCAAACGGCTAACATGCCAATTTCCCCCGAAAGTATTGAAAAGCTCAAATTTTGCTGTTGGCTTGATTGCTATATGTCTTGGGCGGCTATAATCATATGCGGAGTTTGTTACGCGACCCCTGCCAAATCTGGCACTGACTTTACGCTTATTTGGATGCAACATCGCATCATCTGCCGTTGAATAAGTAATGATGCTTTGCTTCAAGGGCATAGTAAACAAGACCGCTTCCAAACTTGCGCTATCAGTGTTCTCAAGAAGAATACGCAACATACCACATGTGTTGTAACTTGATGGAATGTGGAGTAGAACATCGGCATGAATTTCAGACTTGTGGTTTTGAAAGCACGGCATCCGCGAGGTGTTCAAGCATGGGACAATAGTAAGGTGCTGTCGGCCAGCATTGACAAGCAGATGACGTCATGCTGAACAGCATTTTAAGACTGGCCAAGAGCGTTACTGAGGAAAATTCGATAATCGAATCGAGATAACTTCTATTACGCATCACCCCATTATCTATTTATTTTTCTGCCAGCCGCTGGCACTGCGTGGATCAGCCGCACCACCGACGCAATCGAGAACACCCGTGCTCCTTCTCAGCATTCGCTGAAGAGGTTGTCCCAAAACATTTCCAAGACATTCCTTGTGAGTACAATGCGTAAGTCTGAAGTTGTCACAGGCCGTGTTGTTTTAAGCTTCTACTACACTTTGATTATATACTTTCTGTTTTACTAAGCTCTTTACTTTAAAACTTCCATCGTGGTGCAATTTTCCTGGTGATGCAATGATATTTGCGAGATATTCCCGAATACTTTGCATAATTATCAGCGCACTCATCAAGGCGTTCCGTCTTTTTACACTCGGTCGGCGAAAGGGGCAACAGAAGCCTCCTCGCTAAGATTTCTTTGAATAACTTCAGAGCTATTTTGTGCATGGCGCCGAGATTTACGGCCCATAAGCCCTTAAGTTGTTTTTAAATGTAAAAAAAATTGTAGGACCCCATAGTTAAAGGGTGACGACCCTTCTGTTGTGGACATTTTGACAGCATTCCTGGTGCAGACTCCGATGGCGTACATTTGTCGTTGAACGTGACGCTGCGGTCGTGGGTGGTCGGTGTGCCCGGTAAACCAAAATTATCAACCTTCTCGTGGAGTATGCCTTAAAACTACTCTCCCATATTGATTTGTGGTATCCTGTTACAGATGCAATTGTATAGAATAGAAATAGGCCAGGCTGTTCAAGATCAGCCTGTGTCAACTGCGTCAAATAAATACTTAATTCTGCACGGGTACAACCATTTGCCTTCATGGAATAGCATACGTGACATCATATTAACCGGGATTTGATGTAGTTTAACAGGTGATATCTAGCGTTGCCGCTGCTCTGCTGACACAGCACACTTAGTTCTTCACACCACAGGGTGGAAATCCAGGCACACGAGGTGTCACCGGCATGACTTCACCAGAGGTCACTCGTAATCAGCGACGCTGAGCGGGGGCGACTGGACACGAGCTATCTTATGCCGCTTGTCGCGTGCCTCTAGCATGCTGGGGCTTCCAGATCGCAGGGACGTGCGAAGCGTGTGCTCTGACAAACTGGGAAAACTTTAGTTTCAATCAAGTGCTCCGCTCCTCGCATGGAACTGCTGTGGAACACACCATTCTCTGCCATACCGACTTGATAAGATGTGTCGTTGGTAGTTTCTTTTCTTACGGAGCGCGTAAATTTGACCGCCCAACTACTCTTCAGTTCTCTTCCGTCATGCACTGCATCACGACGCTTCGCATCGAAGACGTGGTCAGCGTGGTGCGACCTTACGGGCACCGGGTGCTGATGGCTGTGAGTCAACGATAGGGAACTGTCCCAGTTCCCCGCCGATGAATCACGGTTTAACTGGTCGTAACGTCAGCACCCGTTGGTGCACAAAGCGTTTCGACCCAACAAGCTGCGCACATTTTGTTATTACGTTCTGACTCTTCGCCAAGTGCTGATTTTCTGCCGATAGCTGACTGTTCACGTACGTTTCCGAATGCGCGTGAGCAGTTCGATTGTTATGTAGTTTCTCACATTACTTATTCAAAAACTTAGCTCTTTACATTTCAAATGAACATGAGCCTGAGGAAGTCCTTCGCAGCCCTTGGTCATCCGAATCTTTAGGCATATTTGTGTAACGGGAGCTTTTTTGGTTTTATCTAACTGCACCAAAACCTTTTTCAGGGGTGTCATTGACTAGACTAATTGTGCAAGACTTCCAATGCAAGCGTTTTACATCTCACTTGGACAGAAACACGCTATTTGAAGCCTTCGAATACAGCGGAATGTTGGCGACTCCGGCTTTGGCGCATGCTATAAATGTCGCCAGGCGTGATCAGCGCCAAATCGCCCCAAGTTTTGCGGTGAATTGACTGGCCGTTCAGGCCGACCGGCTAGCTTCCACAAAACTCATCACCGACGCTGAATTTGAAATCAAATCATGTTTTTGTTATGCCGTGACAGACTTTTTCTA